AAAGTAGATTTGGATTATGTTCTTGGAATTGGAGGCTTTGACTTGGAAAGGTTGTACTTCTTTTAATATTTCTTTAGAATGGTTCTGACGCCTATCTGCTTCTTGTTATTGACTCTATCAATATTTTGGCCATCTGTTTGTGTATCTCCCAATTTATGGTTTCTGTTTCTTGCAAAATGTCTTAACTTATACTGTCTGAGCATAATCACTGTCTCTTTTTCTTGTCATGGGATAAACAAACTTGGGGTTTCTTTCCATGATTTCAGCAGAAGTGGATGTAACTTGTAATTTTCTACTTTAGCTAATCTGATGAATTTGTGTGCATAAATGCTATTTTGGGAAAATAATAGAGAAAAATTTTGAATCTGTAATTTGAGGAATTATGTACTCTTGGTTGTCTCTTCTTTTATTGACTCGACAGCCCCTTGCTTGAGTTTGCCCTCCATACTTGAAATACTATGTTGATATATCGCTATTGAACACACTGAAGATGAGTTTTTGGTTTTTACTATACTAGAATTATTTGTTGATGGCATTTACATCGCCGTTCAAGTTTCCCAAATTTCAATTGTATAATAAAAGATACTTTTCAAAATACAATTGATGGGCCATATAATGAACTAGTTTTTGGTGTTTGTAGATAGAAGCATATAAACCTTTGATCTAAGGCACTTTCTGCTCTCATACAATGTATCCAGATGTTGAACACCTTTTTGATGTTTCAGAATTAATTCTGTTCATATTTCAATTTAACCTTCCTTATTACTTTAAACTCTTGTCGGGTATGATCAGGTGTTAAATTTGTTGTTGTTGGAGCTTAGAATACAAGCCTTCATGCATTCATCTGATGAACGTTCTTTTCTTGAACTTGTTAATGCTACTGCAGAATTGAAACTGCTGTCGATGCTGAAAGTTCTAAGGAAGATCACACCAGCCATGGCCATGACCATGATCACCACCATCATCATGAACATGAACATGACCATGAACACGACCATAAACATGGCAAGTCCACCCTACATTTCTTAGATATTAGGAATAGCTTAAGTTAAGACATTATTCTGCACTATTTAAGGTACACAGTAATGACAGAGTTAAATGGGCCTGCTATGAGTAGAAATTAGAGTTAGCATGCATCTGAGTTATTGAAGATGATTCCTGCCGCTGCTTAGATAGATTTATGCCACAAACATAAGCTGTCCTTTGCTTAGTCATGTGATTTGTCGCCAATTCTGTCCAGCAAGGTTTACCATCCATTATCTGGAGAGTGAGTTGCTATTCTCTGGGAGACCCCCCCCCCCCACAAACACAAAAAAAAAACTCTTTTGTTTCAACCTGAATCCATGGCTTTCTTTCCTTATTGAATATTTAGTACCTTTATAGGTTGATATGGAATTCTATCTGTATGTCTTTTTGTTAAGAGAACCACATGCTCCACATCCTTGGCCATGTCTGAGTTTCTTAGAGCCGTTGGATTGCTGCTAATTGAAACTCATAGAAATGTGGGCATTTTCAACTTTAGTCATACTTTCTGTTGCTCCCAGCACACCCCATCCAGTGTAGTGTCATCTTTCCTACAATGAGAGTAACGCTAATAGTAAGACTTCTGATTGAAACTTGGCAGGTTTCTTATTTGGCTTCCAATTATGTATCCTGATAGTGCATTATTGACTCTTTTATGTATCTGTAAGCATGTGGTTCGAGATTGATTACTTCGATATGCTTTATTTTGCTTACTAGTGGTGATGCTAATAGCTAGCATCTTGGAAATCATTCACTTATATTGCTTGTTGAATTATTGTGGATATTCTTGCAGAACATCATGATCACCATGCTCATGATCACACTCATGACCCTGGTGTTTCTTCTGTCAGCATAGTTTGTGAAGGACGCTTAGATCTTGAGAAGGTTTGTTTGTTGGTGATTTATTTGGTAGTCTTATTCTAATTGATCTTCCAACTTTAGGGAGTCTTAATATGTATTGATTCAATATATCCATTGCAAGATGAGATTGCTGAGTTCGATGGACTGAAAAACATTTACTTTCAATATCTCAGGCTAACATTTGGCTGGGTACATTGTTATTGGAACGAAGCGAGGATATATACCGTATGAAAGGTCTTCTGTCAGTTGATGGAATGAATGAGCGATTTGTCTTCCAGGTGATTGACTTCTTTTCAGAATGCTATGAGTTTTCTCTGAATATTTCTAACTTGTTAGATGATTCTCTAAGTAAATTTGCAATTATGAGCATAACAAACCCAATTCTGTTTAGATGGGGAAAAAGCATAATGCTTTTCCCCTTTTTATTATATGACTACTTCTGGAAAAGGTTTGGTAAAAAAAAAATGATGAGTAACTTGGAATAAAATTTTATGAGCTGATCCAACATGGTTTTCAGATAGAGGGGAAACATTTGGAAGGAAAAGCAGCAGTCACATTGCTCACCAATTACTAGTTTACTAATGACTGTCTCTGCTTTTCTTTGTAACTTCCTGGAAATAACTCGATGCTATTCATCATTTCATCCTTTTGGACACTGAGATGGCTTTTATTGCAAGGTGATCTTTAATTTATTTTGTACAAGTGTCAAAGTTTTTGGTTCAAGTTATTAAAGATAATATTCTTTCTACTTGTTAGCTACCTGCTGCTGAGTAAACTCTCTGCCCAAGTTAACCGAAGCAATTGGTTAGGGCATTAGGCAATGTTCAATCTCGCAATAATATACAGGATGTGGTTACTACTGCATTTGGGTTAGCTTAAAGTTTTACAGCTCCAGTTGGATTGCTCTTTTTCCGGATTAGCGCCTAAATAGGAGTCATTAGCTACATCATTAGTAATGAGGCCAAGCACATAGATGGCTCTAATGACGACATAATTTTCTTCAGCTTGCTGCTTTGAAATTAACAAGTAGGAAGATATGGTTCAATTTAGAATTCTGTATAGGACAATGTCACATATGGAGTCGATTGGAGCATTTTTTTCGAGAGTAGAGTGGAGTATGGTATGGTGCTAACATGTTCAGTGCCCAATTTTCTTTTGCAAATGCTTTCTTGTATGTTTATTTTTTTCAGTCTTGGGCTTTTATCGCATGCTTATTTTTTATGATCGGCATACCTTCTTGTTTGTAATAACTATTATCATGTTTAACAGGGAGTACATGACATATTCCAAGGTTCGCCGGATAGACCATGGCTCCCAGATGAACCAAGAGTAAATAAGATCGTCTTCATAGGAAAGAACTTAGACGCACAGGAGCTGGAGAAGGGCTTTAGGGCTTGTTTATTGTGATTCCACTTCTTAAGACTCTAGTAATTAATAACGAGCTAACTATTTTATCTTGTGTGGTGAAAACAATAAAAACTATAAAAATTTTTCTGATATGCTTGTGGAAGCCTGAGTTTCTTGCAGATTCAATCGAAAGTCCACATCATCTTTCGCTTTTGATGTTTTTCTAGAATTCCTGAAGTTTCCGGCAAGTTCATGGTAGTATTGTAAAATGAAGCTGCCGCTAGTCTGTAGTCCCGGCGGTCATTAGCCATTTTGTACTCCTAACGCGTACGGATGAGAGCGATTACCAATTCATATGAGCAAACCTAGTAAAACTTGCCAATCTTAGTGGATATCAAATCTGGTCTTGAACCTGTTTCAGCTTTTCCATCCTTGAATATTTTCATTAGTGAAGTAACAGAAAAATTGCAATCTTGGTCACCCACCAAAGGTTGATATGTTGAAGCATTTCAGACATACATTGTGCAGATAAGCGTATGTGAAATAAATTATTCCATTAGTTTTGCCGCTAAAATGATGCTGAGCTTGTATTTCCTGGGGGGTGCAAAAATGGTAAATGCTCATGACTTGAGCTGCCTTGGGATCTTCATGAAACCGGCGGTCAAATGGACCTCGACCAGCTTTAGACTTAGAGTGGTAACTGGTACCAAGATCTGGGGCAATTTGCAGACGAAAAGCCAAATTTCGGTACTGAAAAAGTCCAGAAACCCAGAAATTGATGTTCCCTCCCATCCATGCACATCCGAAGTTAATGGCCCATAGCCCTTTCTATCTCCTCAGTTCATACTTCAGGGTACGTCAAAGGACTCTTGTCGCTCTGGTTTCCCTTTACCCCAGCCCACCACAACAACTACTTTCTTTCTAATCTGGTCTCCGGTCTAAGCTCAAAAGAAACAAAAAGATATCAAGGAAAATGGAGTTCGAAAGTCTCTGCTCTTCTAGAGCTGCTTTGGAGAAAATGGTCTGCACTGTTGTGGTCGGTTCAGCTCTGGCTGCTCAAGAGTCCCTTCTTTGGCTTTTCTTCATGGTACATTCTCTGCACTTCACCTAGAAGGCGTTGCTTCTCTGTGGTATATTTGTCCTTAAAAGGTTCCAGAGAATCCAATCACTCCATTCTTATATATTATCCTAATAGTGACTGAAGAGCTTTCTTGAGATGTCTGTTCTCCTAACCTTGATTACTACATCAAAATTCTGCATTTGCTTGGATAAGCAGTTCAGAATTATCATTTCTTGAAACTTTTTTTTTTTCGCTGCTTATACACTAGGTCAGAGATGCAAGAAATGCTACAGCGATTTCCATGCGGATTATTTTGGCTTTTTCACCCCCGTTCTAGGAGCATTATTTTCTTTTTATTTGACAATCTAGAATTTCTATCTTTTAGATTGAAGGCAATTTAAGAAAAGCCTTTCCCTGTCCCCTTACTAATGTCCACAAGTACCTAAAACTTGGGATATCAAGGAGAATCATCGCCAAACAACTCCCATAAAGTTCAGAATATTATTTCTGCTTTATGATAACCAGGAAAAGTTGCTTTTCTTTGAAAGATCTATTTGGTTACGGTGGTAACATAACTGGGCCAATGACCATGTTTAATGAAGCATTGAAACTTAACTGCTGTAGGGTAGGATCCATTTACATGTGTTTTGGAAATGACCAACGAAAATGTGTTTTTCTATTCGACATTTCCCCCTGCTAGAGCGTTTGAAATGGTTTCCAATAACTAGATCATGACTTCTTTCACTGTTATCAAGTAACATCTGTACGTCATAAACCACCCTTTAACTTGTCTTTTGTTTTGACGTTGTTGATTATACTAAAGAACAGTTGGACCAAGCTTTGAGCTATGAGCATTATTGTCTCATTTCAAATTGTGGACATCTTTGTTCAGAATGGCCATCTCTTCAGTTCTAAAATTTGATGTTTCACATGATTTGCAGCAGTTACGATCAACCAAGCCACGGATTTGATGTTCGTGGTTATTACTTGTGACTTGTCTTTTCTAATTGTTTGATGTTTCCGAAATGTGCTGTGAGATTATCATAAACACACTTGTACATTAGTTAGGGCAAGGTTACCAGGTTCCACTAGTACCCATGGAGGACTAAGTTTGAGTTGGCGCTACTTTTTCACAGTGCACCTCCTGGTACCACTGCATTTCAAGGCTTAGTAGCATCAGAGAGGAGGTATCAGGGTTCTATATCTACTAGTATCTGTCATCTAAATTAGTTGCCATTTGCATGATGATTCACCATTGGTGTCTATATGTGTTGCAGGTATCCTGTAGGTGACCTCGAAAGGGTTTTGGTTACTATGGCTAAAACCAGGGATGCTAGTGAACTGGAGGATGATGATGATGAAGAAGAAGATGAAGACAATAGTGATGACGAACATGACGAGGATGATGATTATTCTGGAGAAGGGAGCAATGATGATCAGGATGATTCAGATGAGGTTGAAGGAAGTGGCACTGGAGGAAGTGATGAAGATGACGAGGATGGACACGATGATGATGATGATGATGACGACCAGGAGGACGACCATGAAGAAGATGAGGAAGACAAGCATACAGCAAAGAAGAAAAAGTGAGTAACTTTAATTCTCTTCTGATGCCTCACCCTCTTTTCCCTTCGTGGCTTCATCAGTTAAATTGAGCATTATTTGAAGGAAGACGACTTACTTATGGACAAGATGATATTTTGTTTGGATGGAGTATATTATTTGCTTGCATTAACAATACATTTTTCAACCATCATTGTATCTTACATACATCAAATAAAAAAGTACTACAATAATTTTTTTACAACTAAAAAAAATTAAAAAAGAGAGTCACCATTGTGGTATAACTTTGGAAATATATTTTATCTATCCCCTGCAACTTCTTCAACAAACCTACTGCCATATGTAGACTAAAGCGGCAAGAAGGAAATGAAATGGAAAAGCATCTATATCTTTTAAGTACAACGCTATGCTTGTAATAAAGCCCGCATGAGACTAAAAGGAAGGTGAAGATGAATAGAGATTAGCGGCCGAACAAGAACTACATGACGAAGTTACAGATATGCACAGGTTTTATTATTCTAAAGACATGTCGCTTGGTGATTCCTGCAGCGTTCAACCTATACACTTCAATACCTTCACCCGGAAAATAAAAACACCACTAGTTCCTCGTACTTCTCCCAGTGTTGATCTTTGCTGTTAGATTCATCATGCGAATAATTCTCCCAGGGAATCATATTATGTGCTCATGTTAAAGCCTTAGTATGCCTCTTCCTCCCTCCCTTCCCATTTTTCTAGAAACAAAAAGCGAACATCTCCTTCAACAACCAAGATTTGTTAGACATAATTGATCATATCAAACTGTATAAGATCAGAGAGCTGCTTCCGTCCCCAGGTAACTAAACCAGAGGGAAGAATTATGAGTAAATGCATGCAAGTTTAACTTGACCAAACCGTTCAGTGAGAGATACCATTTGCTCAACTGATGTAGCAACTAATCCAGAGCTTTTTAAACCTTAATATACTCTAGTACCGCAATAATCCAAAGCTTCAAACTTTGGTCATCGAAAAAAAAAAAAGAAAAAGAATTTAAAGCTTAGTATTAATCATTAGCTACACTAATAGTATCGGAAGAGTGGCTTATATCAAAATGGAAGAATACATAGTTACAATTTAGGCACTCACTGAGGCAGCTTTCCAGCCCGAAAAATGGCGAACTTGTTAGCCTTTGAATAAGAATACTCAATCCCGTTACTCCTTAGCAGCTCCTCAAGCAAATTCTTAGCTCTTTCAGGTTCAGAAGTCTCGCATTCAATCTCATAACACGTCCCAAAATCATAATTTGTTTCATCAAGCTCCAATTTTAATCCACTCCATTCATACACTGCTCTCACATTTCTAAATCCTCCCAAACATACCAAACACTTGTTATCATCTCCAACAACTCCATATTCTTCTCTCACTCTCTTCATTATTTCGGAAGAATGATCGGCCATGAGTAACAGCCGCCACGGCTCCGCCACGCTAGCTCGGCCTATGACAGGGTCGAGGGGCTCTTCATCTTCCTGAATGCGGCTGATTCCATTGGACATCACTGGCTTTGCTTTGAGAGAAAGGACGCATTGGGAGTCGAGGTCGTAGAAGCGAAGGCGGAGCGCGGCGAGGTTGGTGGCCAGCTCAGAGTTAGGCCCGTCAAAGAAAATGTTTTCTTGGACGTGGGTTTTGACGTGGAAAGGTGAAAGGACAGTGGAGAGGCGTTGGTGGGCGTTTGAGTCTGGTAAACGGAGCTTTACTTCTACTTCCATTATGATTCGGCGGCGCTGGAGGTGGTGGTTGGTAACAGAAGTCGATTTAGTGGTGAAGTAGGGGAAGAATTGGGACGGTGACTGGTGGAGCAGCGGGGGATATGGGTGATGGATATGTGAATATGTGGCGTTTCTCGCCCTACAGAAAAAGTTCCAATCTCCCGGAATCAAATGCTTGGTGCGCAGAAAAAATTAAGTACGTTGAATATTCTATTCTCCTAGGACTGGGAGTCTTTCCTCTATCGTCCAATCGGAGGCGGGGCAGGAACGGTCTCAAGTTCATGTCGAGATTTGATAAAAAAAAAAAATAAAATTATATCTTATATATAATTTTTAATATCACGTGTGAGGTTTATAAAATTTTGTTTTATAATTATATTTTATTAAAAATGAATTATATCGTATGTATATAAAGTTACGTCGTATGCATCTTATATAAAATCGATCCAAACAATTTTCTGACGAATCGTTCTGCCCTTGTTCCGTTTAATTGGACATCTTCAAAAGCGAATCATAACTATTACTCGCTGATAAAGTATTCATTTTACCCATATAAGACTTATTTCTCAATTCTCAATTTTTTATTAGCTTTAGATACTATTGAAATTCACTTTTTAACACTTGAAAACTTACCTGAAATCTTGCTTTCCAGCGGTCAAACATTTTCACTTATACTCGGTAACTATTTTCAGAGTTTTGAAAGGATTTCTTTTAGCTAAAACTAGCTTTATGTCTCGTGCTATATGCACGAGAACAACGAATGATTAAATATCGAGATTTGCTGATTTGAATTTAACAAACAATAACCATTGAATAGCATCAATTGTAACTCAACAACCTTAGAAAATTTGACATATGTCACAGTATTAGAAACCTTGATTGACATTGTTATAGGGATTTTTTAACGAAAGCATAAAGCGTTAATTTATTGTAAATTGATTCAAAAGGATTTCTTTTAGAAAAAAATTTGTTAAAAGATTTTTCAATGATTGGAATGTGTGGCATAATTTTTTTTTCGGGGGATAAAAATTTGTGCCATAAATTGATACGACAAGGTATTATTTTATTAAAACTAATAATTTTTAAGTAATAGTGTAGCAGCCTAGTGGTTAAAGTTAAAAGATTCCGAAAATTAGAGAGCTTATATTTAAATCTGATTGTGACAAAGGTCTTAGGAGCAAAATTCTTGAACAGATCGTTATTTTATTCATAAGCTCGTTAAAGGTACAACTGATAGAAGAGATCTGGAACAGAAATTTTTAGACATCCAAGTCTCAAGTGATGCCAAAAATGCAAAACATTGAGTAAGCTTGGCAAAATTCCCATGGCCTTGGAAGAATTTCATTATTCCTCAAATACTAGTATACTATTTTATATGCTTGGGAACTGGTCATATATTTAGCTGGGTCCTGCTTGAGCACTCAGTTTCTAGTCTTTTTTTTTTTTGTTTTTTTTCAATCGGAGTATTCCAATTTTGCCGGACTAATTTTCTTGAACTTGAATACCTCGCCTCACGAAAAATACCCCGAAGATTCACCGAGCTGACCCGAGGGCACTCAGGGTTCTGGTTAAAAGTGATGGATTTGATTCTTGGCACAGTAGTTGTAAAAGGCCACTCCTCTCCTTCTGTGCATCACCAAGGGAAAAAATGACAAAATTACTGATTTTTTCTTGTTTTTTTTTTTTGGGGGTTGGGGCCTTGGGGGAAGTGAAGGACCAAGCATCAATGTACACACCACACAAGAACGGGGAAGGAAACTAGAGGCATTACCTTGAGAGGTTCAATGGTCAAAGCTCCTTGGGAGGAAATGTCTCCGCATTCTTGGCTTTTGAGACGAAAATAATAATGCATATCCTCAAAGTGATTGCGAACCTCATCGATTAATTCTGCCCTTTCTTGCATGCTTCTCATGAATTCTCCCTTGAGGATTTCACCTTCATCTTCAAGAATTCCCAATCTCTCGTCCAGTTGCTTAACTAGCTTGCTGTTGACGCGCATCTTCCTCTCGTGATTCCTTTTCCCAGAACAAGTTGTATCTGATGAGATCTCACACGCATGATTTCTATTCAAAACCCTCAATTCCAGTGACTGAGCAGCAACGCTCCTGCTGCCTGACATGCCAAAATCCAGAGCAAATGGATCAAACCCTCTTATTGTTTTCTTTTTTCTCTTGATTGCAATCACTCACAACGTGGTCATGACGACAACTCTGCCCGAACTTGCGTGGAAATTGAGAACGTTTAGCTATTGAATTCGAAAGAGACTAGTATATACGTACACAATACAATGGAGATGATGCTGAAACAAAGCATGCATGTGCATGAAAATCACACAAGTTTGGTTTTAGGGACGATAAGTCCTCCCACAAATGATGCATGAAATTTAAGGCTAAGTTCATGTATGTTGGTGAGATCACATGATTCTCAAGTGGATGATGGTTGCTTGTCTGAGATAACTCAAGGAGTAGGAAAGAAGTTTACAATCTATACTGGTACTAGCGCTCTTTGATTCCCCTATAGCAAGGGAGAAGTAGGGACTCAGGGTTGCCGGGGGCTGAAGGAAACATGAGATATCACGGAATTATTAATTGATGAGATGCAGTTGCAGACTTGCAGTTACTGACAATTTTGAATTCCCGCGGCCGCAGGAATTGTCTCTAACATGTTTGGCAGGAAGTTTCGGCTGTAATTATAGTAGCAGCAATTAGGAAGGTGCTTAGTCGGTTGGTGACTCTTGCAGACTCTGCCTGCCTCCTGTGAGAACTGATTCTAGTAGACAAATATTTTCGGCCTTGAGAAAATTTGGCTGGACATCAACAGAATGTGAATGTGGCACTAAAAAGGGGTTCAAATTTTAAAGAAACCCACAATCAAGGTGAGTTTTGAAGGACCTGAATTGTGTCAAAATAATCTGCTAAAATTGAGTACCGAATATCGGCCATATATACACATTGTGCATGTTTTTAAACTTTTAAGCCACAGATGAAAGTTGTTCATCTATGGTCAAGGCTTTGTATCAGCATTGCTTCCAAGCGTTATAACTTTGGATATATATTTGATCTAACCCCCGCAATTTCTTCAAAAAACCTACTGCAATATGTAGCCTAAAGTGGCAAAAAGGAAATGAAATAGAAAAGTATCTACATCTTAGCGTGTAATGAAGCACACATGAGGCTGTAGGAGAGGCACAAGGAAGGTGAAGATGAAGAGATTAGTGGCAGAACAAGAAATATATGACGAAGTTACAGATATGCACAGGTTTTATTATTCTAAATACATGTCACTTGGTGATTCCTGCAGCGTCCAACCTATATACTTCAAGACCTTCACCCAGAAAGTAAAAACGACAAATGACTTTAATACAGAGTTGTGGTTTTACAAAGGACGGCTGGATGTACTCTGCAA